GCCATTCCTTGCAATGCGTTGCCTTCCCTGGTCTTGCTTTGCCTTGCCTTGCTTCGCCTCTAATCACCTCGCCTCACCTCTCATCGCCTCACCTCTCCTCACCTCATTTCGCCTCGCGAGGGTTTTCCTTCCTTTGCCTTGCCTTGCCTCACCTCGCCATTACTTTCCTTACATTGCCATTGCTTGCCTTGCCTTGCCTCTCCTCGCCTCTCCTTGCCTTGCCTGGACTTCCCTTACCTTGCCTCACCTCGCCATTAATTTCCTTTCTTTGCCTTGCCTTGCCTTGCCTTGCACTGCCTTGCCTTGCATTGCCTTGCCTTGCCTTGCCTCGCCTTGCCTCGCCTTACCTTGCCTTTTCTTGCCTTGCCTTGCCTTCCATTGCCATGCTTTGCCTTGACTTTTCTTTCCTTCCCTTCCCTTGCCTCGCCTCGCCTTACCTCTCCTCTCCTTTCCTGGACTTTAATGGCCTTGCCTTGCCTTACCTTGCCTTGCCTTGCATTGCCTTGCCTCACCTTGCCTTGCCTTGCCTTGCCTTACCTTACATTGCCTTGCCTCACCTCGCCTTGCCTTGCCTCCCCTCGCCTCACCATGCCTTTCCTTGCCTCCCCTCTCCTCACCATGCCTTTCCTTGCCTTGCCTTGCCTCGCCTCGCCTTGCCTCACCTCACCTCACTATGTCTTTATTTCTGTTGCCCTGCCTTACCTCGCCTCACCTCGACTCACTATGAATTTCCTTCCCTTGCCTTGCCATGCCTTGCCTTGCATTGCCTCGCCTCGCGTCGCCTCGCCTCTCCTCACCTCGCCATGACTTACCTTCCCTTGCCATGTTTTGCCTTGCCTTGCCTTTCATTGCCTCGCATCACCTTGCCTCTCCTCACCTCGCCATGACTTACCTTCCCTTGCCATGTTTTGCCTTGCCTTGCCTTTCATTGCCTCGCATCACCTTGCCATGCCATTCCTTCCTTTGCCACGTCTTGACTTTCCTTGCCTTGACTTGTCTTGCCGTGTCTTCCCTTGCCTTGCCATGCCTTGCCTAGCCTTGCCATGCCTTGCCTTGCCTGGCCTTGCCTTGCCTTGCCTGGCCTTGCCTTGCCTTGCCTGGCCTTTCCTGGCCTAGCCTGGCCTGGACATGCCTTGCCTTGGCTAGCATTGCCTTGCCTGGCCTTGCATTGCCTTGGCTTTCCTTGCATTTCCTTGCATTTCCTTGCATTTCCTTGCCTGGCCTGGCCTGGCCTGTCATGGCCTTGCCTGGCCTTGCCTTGCCTTGCCTTACCTTGAGTTGCCTTGCCTTTCCTTGCCTTGCCATTTCTTGCCTTGCGTTGCCTTGCCTTGCCTTGCATTGTTTTCCCTTGCTTTGCCTTCCTTTGTCTTGCATTGCCTTGCCTTGCCTGGCCTTGCTTGACACAGATCTCTTGCTGTGCCATGTGCACTTGCCAGTTACTGAGGAAAGTATCCATGGGCTGGGAAAGGAAACAGCGCAGGAGGGAATTTTTAGCTAATTGTAGCTCTTCCTGGTAAAACCTGTAGGGCTCTAGCATCTTGTTCCATATTTTCCGTGGTAACTGGAATGGGTTTCACTATTAAAAAAAGTATTTAATTTTCTACTTCCCTGTGTTCCAGGAGAAACAGCAGCAAGGGCCTCCCCTTGTGCTACAGCTTGTGACACTGGGCAAGACGTGACAAGAAAAACAGATGGGCTGGAACTTGTGGAGAAGCCTGTGGGCTGTAGAGCTTCATCAGGGACAAGGACAGGTTTCTGTGTAAGCACTGACTCAGTTCAGCCCAGCTGTGCTGTAGTGAAGAGCAGCACCCCTCGCTGCCCTGTGCGGAGTCGGGGCTGGGGTGCGTGCTCCCCACCCCTTCTCTCCTGCCTCCTTTGTCTGCAGTGAAACAGAAACTGTGTTCTCTGAAGAAATTCTTTCCGGGGAGGGTGGTGAGACACTGGAATGGGTTTCCCAGAGAAATCCCGCGTGCTTCTTGTGAAACTCTTTAGGATTGCTGAAAGAATCACTTCCACACATACCAGCAAAAGTGATTTTAATGTGAATTTCTAAAAGCAGGATTCCTCAGGATTTGGTGGCGAGGCCCCACTCCACCATCTACAAAAAGAGATTGTGTCAGACTTGGCAAGGATTTATCCAGGACTGGATTCAAGTGATTTATACGGCATTCAACTGAAATCATGTGTATAGAAACTGCAAACAGAAAGGAATAAGGGAGACCCTCTTGTTGAGTCACGAGGTTCAGATTGGATCTCTTTGCTTTCTAAGATCCCTCTCTGAGAGCAGTCTGCGTGCAGCTGGATTCCATCTTAGTCTCAGGCCTGCTATTCATCTAAAGGATCACAAATGCCAGCTAGCAGCAGTTCGCATTTGTAAACTCAATCACAGGATTTCTAACAGCACTTGATCACTGAAGCTAATATACACACACTTGCAATTAAATATCCAACCTAACACAACACACTGAGATGGAGCTAGATGGCTGTGCACAGATCTAGATGCATCCCTATGCTGAAGCTGCCCTTGGTGCAGTGAAAAGTAAAAGCAGAGCACAATACTCCCAGCAGCTCTGGAAGCACTCCTCAGTGGGCGAAGGGCTGAGTGTCAGTGAGCAGCAGGATCGGCCCAGCCAGATGATCTCCCTATTAGCTAAACTGGAGAGTTTAGGGGGCTCTCAGAGATGCCTCACTATGAGGGAGATGCTGCTCACAGCACACTGCGGTCCAGGAGAGCTCAAAGGATCTCTCTCTTGGCACTACCACTTGTAGGGTCGTCAGATGACGGGCTTTAGTCATCAGTCAGATTTCATCCTGGCCACAACTCTGTGTCAGTTTCAACAGTGCACAACAGCTCTGTTGCAGGCTGTCAGGGAATGCCTGATCAACCTGAAAGAGCTCCTGGTATGAGCAGGGAGTATCCGACTTTCCTGATCTCTGTGTGCTGCTCCCACCTTTGCCAGGCAACCAGAGCTCCTGGTGCAGCCAGGGAGCAGCTAGCAGCCAACTCCTTGCAGTGTGCAAAGGCTGGGGCCTAACAGGAACTCCTGGGGAAGCAGAGGGCTCCAGGAAATGGGGGGGAAGTGCATCAGCACATTCCACCCCGTAACTAAAGTCAGTTCATCTTTCTCAGAGTGGTGTGCTCACCTCTTGCCGCTGTGCCAGTAAACAAAGTAGAGCTGAATTCCAGTTATAAATTGAGGGCAATGTCTGGTTGCTTAGTTGTTAAGAATTTCTTAAATGAGTTTAAGTACGATTATATATATGGACAGGTTTCTGCATCAACATAACCTGTTCAGCTGATTTCTATGCTCTAATGTATAGCAGAATGTTTAACAACAAACAGAATAGGATATAAATTAGTGAAATTAAGGTAGGATGTAAAATTCAACTTTAAAGCCCCAGTTGCTGTTGCTGACCATCCAAACAGGGTATCCTACCAGAGATGTTTTCATGCTCAGTGTGTGGACTTGCCAGAGATAGGTTAATGGTTGGATTTGATGTTCTCAAAGGGCCATTTTCAAATTAATTGATTGATTGTAAGAAACAAAGATTTTTAGCCTTAAATCTTTGTATCATCAGGCTGTTTCCCATGGTGTTTCCCTGGAGCCCCAGGGAGCCCTGGAAGGAGCCCATGGGGGCAGAGGCAGAGCCACCTTGGGCTGGGCCTCTGCTGCTGAACTGGGACCGAGGGGAGACCGGCGAGACACAGGGAGCTTAAAGGCACTTGGCAGTGGAGGATGCTGAGGACGAGGAGGAGGAACCTTCTGAAGGAGAAACCTTCCCAGCCCTGTTTGTGGTAAGGCACTGGGTGCAGGGCAATGCAGCTGCAGTTTCTCTCTGTAGATAAGGAGGAGGATGTGCTGCAGAGCAGGGCTTCCCCCTGCACCATGCAGGGACAGGACAAGGCAGGTCCCTTGTCCCGGGGCTGGCTGCAGGGTGTGAATGTGGGTGTGCAGCCAGGGGTGCCCAGCGCTGCCCTTGCAGCAGGGTCCCTGCAGCCCAAAGGCTGTGTGCAGGGGCAGGGACTCTGCTGCCTGCCAGGGTCAGCACTCGGCCTGCCCGGGAGCTCTCCATGGAGCTCGAGGGGAGCTGAGGGGAAAGGAGAAACCCCTGACAGGGAAGGGAAGTGCTGGGTGGGTGACGCTGCTCCAATCTGCCATCACTCTGAGCACTTCTTCAGAGGCTCCTTCTGAAAGACACTGAGGCATCATTTACCTGATAGGGAAGGATGCTGAGCTTTGATGTTTTTCCCTCTTGGTGGGCAGGTTGGGCAGTGGGAGCTGGGAATTTACTTCTCTGCTTTGGGGAAGGCACGGAGAGTCTTGTGAGGGCTTGTGTGAGCTGCTCCTGAGCCCCTGCACAGGCAGGGGTGTGCAGGGCAGAGCTGAGCACACAGCCCATGGCATGGGCTCTGGGAGCACTGAGAGGGAGCAGAGCTGGGCACAGAGCAGCAGCTCCTGGCAGGGACAGCTCCAGGCAGCAGAGATATGGATGGGCAGGGAGTGGGGGCAAAGTGCAGCCCAGCCCTGGGGAGGGTGCGTTCAGGCAGCTCTCTTGGGGTCTGCCACTGGAGGTGGCTGCTGGTTGTGCTCTGCTGCCCACAGCCCTTTGCTTCTCAGCGTGAGAGCTCTGTGATCTGCCCTTTGAAACCGTTCTCCCCTGGTCTCAGCACAGGACAAATATTTCTTGGGCATTTAAGATCAATGTGTGTGAAAGCATCTTACAGGCAGTGCAAGTGTAAGAAGAGGGCAAATGGGAGTGATGGACACTGAAGCTCTCTAGGCTATGTACTAAGCTGCAAAAAACTGAGACTTTTTGCCTGATGCATGTTCTCCTGATTGTATGTATGAAGAAAGCCCAGCAGTATAATGACATCACTGGTGATGACACTGAGCCTCTCCTGTCCTCCTATAATGTGCTCAGAGTCGTGTGTAAACTGAACTTCTGTATCTGACATCCCTCCTGTCCTGACCTGTCACTGCCTTTTTCTCCTCTGACAGTGCCCCATGCCCAGAGGCAGCAGATGTCCAACGGCAGCTCCATCACCCAGTTCCTCCTCCTGCCATTCGCACACACGCGGGAGCTGCAGCTCTGCCACTTCTGGCTCTTCCTGGGCATCTCCCTGGCTGCACTCCTGGGCAATGGCCTCATCATCACCAGCACAGCCTGTGACCAGCACCTCCACACCCCCAGGTACTTCTTCCTCCTCAACCTCTCCCTGCTGGACCTGGGCTGCTTCTCCACCACTGTCCCCAAATCCATGGCCAATTCCCTCTGGGACACCAGGGCCATCTCCTACACAGGCTGTGCTGCACAGCTCTTTTTCTTTCTCTTTTTTCTCATAGCTGAGTATTCTCTCCTTGCTGTCATGTCCTATGACCGCTACGTGGCCATCTGCAAGCCCCTGCACTATGGGACCCTCCTGGGCAGCAGAGCTTGTGTCCACATGGCAGCAGCTGCCTGGGGCACTGGGTTTCTCAGTGCTCTGCTGCACACGGCCAATACATTTTCACTGCCCCTCTGCCGAGGCAATGCTGTGGAGCAGTTCTTCTGTGAAATCCCCCGCATCCTCAAGCTCTCCTGCTCACACTCCTACCTCAGGGAAGTCGGGCTTCTTGTGGTTGCTGCCCTGATTGCTGTTGGCTGTTTTGTTTTTATTGTGGGGTCCTACGTGCAGATCTTCAGGGCCGTGCTGAGGATGCCCTCTGAGCAGGGACGCCACAAAGCCTTTACCACGTGCCTCCCTCACCTGGCCGTGCTTTCCCTCCTTGTCAACACTGCTGTCTTTGCCTACTTGAAGCCCCCCTCCGTCTCCTCCCCATCCCTGGATATGATGGTGTCAGTGCTGTACTCGGTGGTGCCTCCAGCAGTGAACCCCCTCATCTACAGCCTGAGGAACCAGGAGCTGAAGGATGCTATGAGGAAGCTGGTGACCAGATGTGTTTCAGCAGGTATACACTGCTTGCTTTACCCTGGAAAGGGCTTCCACTGTAGGTCATGACAGACCATGTCTGTCTTTCCTGCTTTACATTTGTTTTCCTATTTCAATTTGTGATGATGTTGTCTTCATAGAAATGTCAGTTTTCATCTCCTAATTAAGTTGCCACTCGTGCTGTGTGACCCACAGACTTTGTGTCACTCTGGTCTCTGATTGTATTTCAGGGAAATAAATGATCCTGCAGCAACTTCTTCTCTGTGATATGTCCTCACATGTCAGGAATGAAGGGGAACGAAAGCAGCTTTCTGGCTGCTCCAGCTCTGGAATGGCTGCTCTGTGCCTGCAGCAGGAAGAGCTCTTGAGGAGCCCCATGATTGTGGCTGTTGTGCTGGAGTGGGGAGATGGGATGGCATGGGGGGGATGCAGAGATCTCAGGGTGTGCTGGGCAGGGGAGCAGGGGACACAGGGGTCCCTGCAGGGGACTCCCCTGCAATGGCACAGGCTGGGGCTGCCAGGCTGAGAACAGCCCATGGGAAAGGTCTGGGTGGGCAGGAGCTGGACAGGAGGCAGCGTGTGCCCTGGCAGCAAGGGAGGACAGCAGCATCACGGGATGTATGAGCAGGAGCACAGAGGAGAACAAGGGAAAGAATGATCTGGAATACTCCATAGAGGATTCAGATCCCCAGTTCAGGAGTGGGTTTAGTAATGGGCCCTCAGGTCAGGAGATACTGGAGCACGATGCCGGCGGGGAGAGTCTGGGGGAGCTGGACTTCTCCAGCCAGGAGAAGGGAAGGCTCATGGGGACCTGAGATCTTGTGCCACCCCAATAACAGCACAACCCCCCCCAAACCACCTTGTCCTTCTTCTCCTATGGGATACAGGGTCAGAGCCTCAAAACAGACCCAAAACAGGACAAAAACACCCCCCAAAAAACAGCCCAAAACCATCTTCTCCTGCTTCTCCTATGAAACTCAGGGTCAGAACCAAAAAACAGCCACACAAACAGGACAAAACTACCCCAAAACCACACAAAACAAGACCAAAACACCCCCAAACCACCCCAAAACTATCCCAAAACCACCTTATCCTGCTTCCCCTGTGGGATACAAGGTCAGAGCCCCAAAAATGGACAAAAAAAGCCCCAAAGCACACCCAAAACCAGCCCAAAAATGCCTTCTCCTCCTTCTCCTATGGGATATAGGGTCAGAGCCCCAAAACAGCCGTAAAACAGCCCCAAAACAGGGGAAAACCAGACCAAAACATGCAAAGAAAACCACAAAAAAGGCCAAAATCACCCCAAAATCACCTTGTCCTGCTTCTTCTTTGGAATACAGGGTCAGACCCCCCAAAAGACCCAAACAGGACTAAACAGCCCAAAACAACTCCCAAAACAGCCCCAAAACACCCAAAAAAACCCCTAAAACCACTTTATCCTGCTTCTCCTATGGGATACAGGGTCAGACCCCCAAAACAGACCCAAAACAGGACAAAACTAACCAAAAACACCCACAAAACACCACCAAACAACACCAAAACCACCTTGTCCTGCTTCTCCTGTGGAATACAAAGTCAGAGCCCCAAAACAAACCCAATAGAGGCAAAAACCAGGCCAAAACCAACCCAAAACCCAGAAAACAGCCAAAACCACCCCAAAACCACCTTGTCCTGCTTCTCCTATGGGATACCGGGTCAGACCTCAAAAACAGTACAAAAACAGCCCACACCCACACCAAAAACAACTTCTCCTGCTTCTCCTGTAGGATATAGGGTCAGAGCCCCAAAAGAGAGGCATAAAACAGGAGAAAACCCCAAACCACCGAAAAAACCAAAACAAACCCAAACCACACCAAAACCACTTTGTCCTGCTTCTCCTAGGGGATACAGGGCCAGAGCCTCAAAACAGCCAAAAACACCCACAAAACAGGAGAAAACCAGCCCCAAACCACCTTGTCCTGCTTCTCCTGTGGGGTACAGGGTCAGAGCCCCAAAACAGCCCCAAAAGAGAACAAAACCACCCCAAAACATACCAAAAACCATGCCAAAACCACCTTCTCCTTCATCTCCTGTGGGATACAGGGTCAGAGCCCCAAAACAGACCCAAAACAGGCCAAAACCAGACCAAAACCAAAACAAAACAGCCAAAACAGCCCTTCAGAAAACCACAACCACCCCAAAAACACCTTATCCTGCTTCTCCTGTGGGATACAGGATCCATCCCTGAGCCTGGGGAATGCAGGAACCTCCTGCAGTGGAGGTGCAAAGCTTCTGTGAGACACTTGTGAGTGCGGGCAGAGAGCGGGGTGTGCGCAGCAGAGAGGGTGCTACAGGCAGGAAGCTGTCCCAGATGGAGCGCCCTGTCCCCAGAGCATGGGGTACCTTGCACCCAAGGACACCACCTTTCCTTTTGGCTCTTGCCAAGAAGTTCTCAATCCAGACCATTCTGTTTTCCCACTGCTCTCTCATGGTGCTTTTTTCTCTATACTGATTGCATCACCCATTCCTCTAGAAGCCTCCTTTAGATCAGCTTGCTGAGGGGTATTCACTCCACCTGCTGAATTGACACTGTAGTAGCAGCCTACAACTATGTGAAATGTGGCTGCAGAGATGATGGAGGTTTTCTTGCTAGCAGCAAGAGAAGGAAACCTCTGCAAAGTGCGGCTTGGAAGGTTCAGATTCGAAGTTAGGAAAGAGAAATGTCTCTCAAAAGGTGGACTTGTGGTGACTTGTGGTCACCCAGAGGGAGTCTGGCTCAGCCCATGGCTTTGTGTTTCAAGGAACAGACAGCGATGGGTGCAGAGATGGGACTGAAGGTACAGAAATGCCAGGTGAGAGCTAGGTGGGAAAGCAAGATGGGGGTCAACAGCCTGAAGGGAAAGAGGTGCAGGCATGGGCCAGTGTAGGACAGCCTGCAGCAGAGATGACAGGGTTCTGGCATTGCTAAAAGGCCCAAAAGAGCAAAAGGCCTCTGTGCCCTGGGCTATGGCAGTTGCCTCTTTCATCAAGGCCTATGAGGAGAACCTTCATTCTCAGGATTTCAGGCTCTTCCCTAAGGGCTGCAGTCAGGGCTTGGCCTTCTCACCATCAGACACCTGCATTTTGCCTTTGTCTCCCTGTAATCACAGCCTCCAGTTACTTGCTTTAACGAGTCCCTGGGGAGGCATCATCAGTAACAGCCCTCAGTGGGGCCCATTAATGCTGAAGGCACCTGGGGCTTTGTTTCTGACTTGGACTTCCTGAGAGGTTTCCTCAGTCTCCTCTCAGCCCCTGAGGTTCATGGACTCAGCCCAAATACACCATGGGGCTCATTAAAACCTCTGCGTTTTGTCAAGTCTTTCAGGTTGCACAGCATATTGGAGGTTTCTGAGTGCAGGAAGATTGCAAAGAGCAACTGATAAAACTTATTGACAAGTGTTTGTTTTCATACTTTTAAGTTTAGAAATTCCTGTGCCTTCTGGAATGCCCAGCACAGGGATCACAAGAACCTGCCAGGGCCCGGCCGCCTTCCGCAATGCCTGGTGAGCTTCTGTGATCCTTGCCGGAGCCAGGAAGGTCCCCTTGTGCTCAGATCCCAGTGACAGCACCAGCAGCTGCAGTGCCCAGGGGCTGCTCCTGCCCTGCCACCTTCTCAGCACCTCTGACACCAGCAGCTCCTCCACACAGAAGGCTCCTGCTTTGCCCCCAGCACCTCTGCAAGCAGAGCTGTGCTCCAAGCACATGAACAAGCCCAGTGCCTCCTCCTCATCCATCCATCCCCTGCTCCTACAGCTGGGATGGCACCAGCACAGCTCCTGACAGCTTCTCCTCCCTTCCCAGCACGCACCCACAATGTGTTTGAGGCCAACACTAAAACAGGATTGCAAAGTCAAAGAACACAGACCTGGATGCGCAGGGCAGCCCTGGGAGATGCAGCCTCCCGAGGGAGGGGTCTCCTCCACACTGGTTACTGCAGGGCTCTGGCAACTTAAAAAGCCCGCTCACCGTGGGGGCCCCGTCACAATGGGCATCTCCACAGTGACCGCCACAGCTTTGTGATGGCTGGAGAGTATGGAACTGCCTGGGGACAGGTGAGCAGCCAACAGAGAGTTTGTGGGTGAGAGATAAAGGGAGAAAAGTGATGGGGGACATTACTGTGGGGATCTGTTACAGACCGCCTGATCAAGGAGAACGTGCGGATGAAGCACTCTATAGACAGATAGGAACAGCCTCACGCTCACAGGCCCTTGTTCTCATGGGTGACTTCAACCACCCTGACATCTGTTGGAATGACGGTACGGCCCGGCACAAGCACTCCAGGAGGTTCCTCGATTGCGTAGAAGACAACATCCTTCTGCAAGAAATAGAAGAACCGACAAGGAGATGTGCCGTGTTTGACCTTGTGCTCACCAACAGGGAAGGGCTCGTAGGAAATGTGATGCTCCAGGGCAGTCTTTGATGCAGCGATCACGAGATGCTCGAATTTGAGATCCTCAGGACTGTGAGGAGACCGTGCAGCAAGCTCACTGCCCTGGACTTCAAAAGAGCAGACTTTGGCCTCTTCAGGAACCTGCTTAGGAAGGTTCCATGGGATCCAGCCCTAGAGGGCAGAGGGGCCCAAGACTGTTGGTTGATATGCAGGGATCACCTGCTACAAGCTCAGGAGTGTTGCATCCCAACCAGAAGGAAGTGCAGCAGGAGGGCCAGGAGACCTCCTTGTTTCAATAAGGAGTTCCTGAGGAAAATTCAAATGAAAAAAGAGGCTTCTAAAAGGTGGAAGCAAAGACAGGCATCCTGGGAACAATACAGGGATGTTGACCGGGGATCTAGGGACCAGGTTAGGAAAGCTAAGGCCCAGTTAGAATTCAACTTGGCTAAGGATGTTAAGGATAACAGGAAGGGATTCTACAGGTACATAGCAAATAAAAAACAGACTAGGGTAAAAGTAGGTCCCCTCAGGAAGCTCTCGGGAGAACTGGCTACACAGGATTTGGAGAAGGCTGAGGTTCTGAATGACTTTTTTGCCTCGGTCTTTGCTGGCAAATGCTCTGACCAACCACCCAAGTCTTGGAAGGCAGATGCAGGGACTG